ATACTTATTTTTCTCTTTGCTTTATTAATAAATTTTAGGGTTATACCTCAGAAGTAAACTGCACCTACCATTTCTGTCACATTCGTAGTATACATACGTTTTCCGAATTCGATTTTTCTGAACGGAATATTTTCGTTCAAGTTTGTTTCAAAAACTACCGTTTGCGTTCGAAATTTGGATTCGTTAAATAATCGAGTGTCTGTGACATATTCACGAAATTTCGTTTTCGTTTTTCAAATTAGGAAACCAAATAAAATGAATAATAAAACCGACTACGGAAACTGAATACGCAAACCGAATAATGAAACCGAATGCGGAAAACGAATGTTTGTGGTCAGCCAAATGCAATATACTGTCCGAAGCAAAACAAAAAATTATTATTCACCTTCTCTCGAGGACAAAACAGTTAATTATAAAGAATTCAAAGAAACATTTGGCCAAATCTAAATGGTATTTTATTAAGTATAAACTCCAGCTGAATTTTAATTCTTACGACTATACCCAAGTAAAAACAAAAATTCAAGAATATCAAATATGAATGTTAGAATATCAATATAATTTTTAATAGAAATAAAATAATGTATTTTTTTCTTCAAAAGGATGAAAATATTCATATTTTGTTACTATGGTAAAATATGGAAATAATAGGTTGTAATGACATCTGTCAAAGCACCAAAGTTTGTTGATATTTCTGGAGGTTTTTCTTCTTTGAAATCTTTATATAAACAATCTGAATTATCAAAATAAAATCAGTTTATTTTCAGAGACAAATAAATTGCTAATCATGATTTTTATTAGAAATTATTGTGATTTGATAATTTAAAAAGAATCTCTGGCTCATGTAAACATGTTTTGAAAATTTATTATTACTGAAAATACAATATTGAGTCGTAATAGGTTTAAAAAACAAAAAATTGAGTTGTTTAAACTATATTTTTGAAATACATGTACATATTAAAACTTTCCTCCTGTTAGTGAAGAACTTATTAAGTTAAGAAAATCAATTTTAAGATGGACATTACTGCCATGTTGAGGTAGGTTAGTTAGAAATTATTTATTTAATTTAAATAGGTCAATGGGTAATAAAAAATAAGTAAGTGCTTTTACTTAAAATTAAGAACAAATCGTGCTTAAAAATATTTGTACCTTAGTTAAAGTTCTTAAGAGTCTATATCAAATAATACGTATTCTTCAACTCTAGCTAAAAAAATTATTTATTGGAAAGTAAGAACAATTTGTTACCAATTTTCAAGTAAAAGCAAATCATTAATTTTTATTCAAACTACCCATTGGCCTGATAGTTTAATGCCAACAGCTGCCTAACGGGTCTGTTATTGAAAAATTTTATCAAAGCATTTTGATTTTAATAGACCTTTTGGCATTTTTAACAATTAATGTAGTGTCAACATTTTGTTTTATAATTAGATTATTTTTAATTTTCATTAAAAAAAAAGCTAATTAATTAACAAAAAAGGCTTTCGAAACACCAAAATTTTTAATATTGATCCAAATTTTAAAATTTTTGTACCAAAATCCTTTTCAGCAAATTTTTAACAATTTTTAAAAATGCCCTTCCTTTGTAGGCACAATAAGATTATATCAACTTGAAATTTTCAGGATAATCAAGTTTTATAAAGGGACGAAGCCTATTAATTTTGAAAAAAAATCTAAACAAAAATGGGGGGGAGTTAAGGGGGATAGAAATATTAAAAAAATTATTCTTGCACATAAACAAAAAAGATATCAACTTGAAATCTTCAGAAACAATCAAGCTCTATAGGGAGATGAAGCCTATTGATTCTGAAAGATGAAAGAAATCTGATTAAAAATGGGGGGGGGTTAAGTACAGTCTATTAAAATATGAAGAGTATAATATAGGGTGTCCCATTAGTGCGTAATTGTTCAATATTTCAATTTGTGTTATAGACACACAAAAAAGTTTCAAATAAAAGTTATATGGATTTGAAAAATACATGTTTTAAAAATATTTTTGAACTTACAGGGTATTACATTTTTGCCTGGCAAATAAAAATGTATATTTTTTAAACAGAACATCCTATATTTTATTTTACTTTATTTTTAGAAAGGTTTGGTAATACTAGATTCAATCCTAGAATTTTTTAAAAAACATTTTCGAGTTGCCAAGTAATTTTTTTTATGAAATTAGATAATGTTGCAGAGCCCATCATAAATTAGGTAGCTCTACATTCATTTCAAAATTGTTTAATATACAAGACTTATAAGATACTAAGCTAACTAATAGTGGTGATAGAAACTGGTTTTAAGTTTCTTAAATATGCCTAATTTTAAGTTCAGTTTACTCAATTTTTTCAAATGCAACACGCTGTATATTATTTTAGCGTAAAATTCCTTATAAATTTGCATATTGAACGATATCAACTTGTTAGCCAATAACACATATACAGGGTGTCCCATCAGTAAGTAATTGATCGATAGTCGTTTTATTATTGGAAATAATATAAAAGTAGTATGACCATATTTAAAAATTATTCTTACTCTACCCTGCAGGTAGTTATACATATTTGATTGTTTTCACATCGTCAAACAATTTTAATTGACTTCATTCATTTAATATGTCGTATATAGGGTGAGGGTGTGTCAAAACGTGAGGATTTCCTCATTTTTTTTAAATGGAATACCCGGTATAAATAATTGATGTTATAACATACAGGGTATTTCATGTAAAAAATTGAGAAAATCGTAACCTTCCGTTTGGATATACCCTATATAAAACATAGCAAATGAATCAATAAATCTATTAAAATTGTTTGACGATGTTAAAACAATCAAATATGCTTTAAAAATGTATAAGTTTGGTCAGCTCCTCGTTTATGGATCACCCTGTATATTTAAGAATAATTATTAAATATGGTCATACAACTTTTATATTAAAATAAAAAGAGTTATCGATCAATTACAACGCTGATAGAACATCCTTTATATGTGTTATTGGCTAACATTTTGGTATAATTGGATAGGTAAATGTATAAGAAATTTTATGCTAAAATAATATACAGGGTGTTGCATTTAAAAAAATTGAGTAAATTGAACTTAAAATTAGTCATATTTAAGACATGTTTCAAAACACTATAAAATAATCGCATTTTAACACCATTATTCGTTAGCTTACAGTGTTGTTATAAGTCTTTATATTAAACAACATAAACCTTCCAAAAATTAGGATAATTTAATTTGGGGCCTGCATCATTCTCTAATTTCATAAAAAAATTAATTACTTGGCAATACTGTAATATTTAAAAAAAAATCTAGAGTTGAATACAGTATTACACCATTCTAAAATTGAAATAAAATATTTATTAAAATTATTTTAATTTAAAAAAATATACAATTTTATTTGCCAGGCAAAATTAAATCCATATAACTTTTATTTGAAATTTATTTACGTGTCTATAACACAAATTGAAATATTGAACAATTGCGCACTAATGGTACATTATATACCTTCATTCATTTTTTTGTTTTTCTGTTTCTTTTTTGTTTGTTTCTTTTTGGTTTCTTTTTATTTTTTGTTTGTTTTTTGTTTTTTGATTTTTTTTTGTGAACCGTTTAAAAGAAGAAGGGATTCAGGTTTACTTATAAAAATGAATATTTTCGATTGAATCTGCTGAATTTTAATTATATGTTGCTCTTTTTAACCTCCTAATTCAAAGTGTCCATAGGCACAATGTACTCAATTGACTAGTTTTATTTTTCATGTTAATTTAGTTTACGCAAAATGTTATCAGGTAGATTCCTATGCAGTTTTTGATCGTACTTAGACACAACAAAGGGTAGAATACGCTAGTTCAGTGTGATGTCATTTTGGTTCCACTGACATTTAATTCTAACCAAACTTTTAACAAAAATATCAATAAATTTGACATATACGTTTTTACTGTTTTAAGTTTATTTCTAAATATTGTTTACAGGTCATAAAAAATAGTTTAAAGGTATGTAATTGGTAACTAAACGATTGTATATTTGATGCATGCTATGTACTTACTTTAGGAATATATTTATAAAAGTGAAAAAAAAAAACGATATAATTTAGGTACGTACACAAAACGAACAAAACGCACTCAAAAAATCTACTGTCACTTTAATTGTCAGTGGAACCATAATTACATCATTACTGAACTAGCGCATAATGGGCGGAAAAAGGTAATATTCCTAATATTTAATAAGTTCTTTCGTTCGCTGTTGGTGCAGTGTCCACCAGTGTAAATTACACCAGGTGGCACCACCTTTATTGATCTAGTTTACTTCCTCCTTATTCCTGATTCACATGTAGAGTGTAATTTACTCCTGTTAAATAGCTGGTGGAGAAAATATGCACCAGTGGATACCACATCGCCGACAGGAAGGTATAGTGGATTTTACACCGGGCCAAACGGAAGGTACGGTGTGCGTTGGTGTAGTTCATTCCTACACCAGTGAGACGAACGAAACAACCTATTGTGACTATCTCCCTAGACCAAATATCAGCAACTATTTCTCTAGAGAAATAGTCAATATTTGGTCTAATGAAGTAGTCGTCCCAAATATAACACGACCTTGATTAATATTCTGTTATTTTTGATATTGCTAAATTTCTTGAACATTTTACTATTTGATTCTACATATTTTTGGCATTAATAAGTATGTCCCATCAAATTGATATTAAAATATTCTCGAAATTTAGATTTAACAAAAATAGCTGACTATTATCAAGGTCTTAGTATATTACCCTTGATAATTGCACCCCATTAACGTACATTTTAGAACATCTACTCGTTTTAATATGATGTACATGTATTTCAATAAAAATTTAAATACTTTATTCATAATGAATTGTTTTCGGTTTCAGTAATAAAATCCCTTGATTTATATCCCAATCAATACAAATTACTATTCATTTTTTTTTTAATAATTAATTTAAACTGAAAAAAACTGTTTATATTTTAAAATAAAAACTGCTATAAGATATGCATTGCACTTACCTCAACTTGTTCTTTGGTAGAAAGTTCTCTCAGCTCACCTTCTTTTCGTGCAACGAATTCCCGTCTGAGTTGCAACTTTTTCCTTGTTAATTCAGATACAATATTTTTTTTAGCTGTATGAATGATACCCATTCCTTGAAATCTAGAAATAAACAAATACGTAAATGCCTTAGACTTAACCTATATTGCATCTACTTACACTGCTCTGTATCCATCTTCAGGTCCAATTATAATGTCGTGAGGATCATCATGCTCCTCTTTCCCTTTTTTCATAATTAATCTATGGGCGTGAGGTAAAAAATCTTTGCCGTCTGCATTTGATTGGTATATCGAACATCTGACGATTACGCGTCCGGAAAAATTTTTTAATTCTACTGTAGGGTAAGTTGGTTTTCTGGACTTGTCAGAATTTATTCCTGTTAAACTGCCATGCGTCCCCGCCATTTCTGATTTATATCGAAATCTGAATCGGTCCGTCGGTTGCTCGATAAAACGTAACGACGGCCCTGGAACAAATTTAGAAAAATGTGTTATGAATAATTAAGACAATAATATTGTTACGCAGCACCCTGTAGCGTGTTGCGGTCGTCATAAGTAAAGGTACGAGTAAATGAAGAAGATAGTAGGATAGAATAGTACGGAAATGTCTCGAAATGTCATTCCTTGTCAAAGAAAAATCCGGATTGTTCGAGAAGGTTGGGCCGAGCTATATAAGTCGACGACCTGACGTCAGTGTTCAGTTTTATGATAGACGTTATACGTTAATGTTATCAGTTATATTGAGATACCAAAAACCTGTGTAACACTGGTGACAGCGGTGGGATATAAAATTAAAGTTACCCGAGCATTATATTCATGGTAAAAACTAGATCCACTGTTCACGAAACGGATATGGATACTGCAGGCCCACCAGCATGGTTTTTGAAGATGGAAGAGGAAAAGGAGAGGCGTCGTAAGGAGGAAGAGGAGGAAAAGGAAAGGCGAAGGAAGGAAGAGGAGGAGGAAAAGGAAAGGCGTAGGGAGAAAGAAGAGGAGGAAAAGGATAGGCGGGAAGAGAAAAAGGAAAGACGCAGGAAATAAGATGAGGAAAAGGAACGACGCAGGAAGGAAGAGAAGGAAGAAAAAGAAAAACGCAGGAAAGACGAAGAAAAAGAGAAGGAAGAGAGGCGAAAAAAAGCTGAGGTAGAAATTATGAATGGTTTGCTGCAAATTCAAGAAAACCTTAAGCAAGAGGTAGGTCAGCTAAACAGCCGAGTAGATCTCTTACCACAACAACAAGATAATTTAAAAGACAATTTAGAACAGCAGTTAGAATCTAAAAAATAATTTGAAGAACTTAAAAACGAATTTAGAAAAACAGCAAGATAATTTAGAGAAACAACAAGAGAATTTAAAACCTAATTTAGAACAACAAGAACAGGCTGGAGTAGTGTTGGAAAGGCAAATTAGGGCTGAAATGGCTGAGTTAGAAAGAAGAATTCGCAGCCAAGCTTCAGTAAACAACATTGAAGCTGAAAACACTACCTCTTCTTCATCTATAACCGATCCAAGCCATATTCGAACCCCAGTCTCACAAAATCATAGTAGCAAGACCATGAAGCCACCCACGTTTGACAGTCAGACGACATGGAAAACATATCGACTCCAATTTGAAGCTGCAGCTAGAGCCAATGACTGGGACGGAAAGAGATGGCGACTTCATTGATAGTGTCGTTGCGCGGACAGGTAGCAACCGTTTTACAGTTACTTCTCCAAGGGGAATCCAGTTATTCATCTCTCGTTCTTCAAGCTTTGTAAACAAGGTATGGTTAACAGCATTTAAAACAGGTATTCCAAAGCCAGGTAAAAGTTCGTAGTCCGAAACACAATGAGAGTCTACAAGAATTTGAAGCCGATATAAAAAGATTGCTGCATCTGGCCTATCCACAGGCGCCCAGAGATTTCGGAGAACAAATCGGCATACAGACATTCATTGATGGACCACAGGATGTGAAAATGCAGCAGGCTCTTCGGCTAGAACACCACAAGACGTTGAGTGAGACACTAATTGCAGCCCAGGAATACGAAGCAGCAAAAACTATATCTAGATCTTCTCGTGCAAAATTGAGAGAAATTAAATTCCAAGAAAGTGAAGAGGCCACTACTAATACTATCCTTCAACCCACCCTCTCACAAATTTTAAATAACCTGCAAAATGGCCTGCGAAAGAGCCAAAATGCTTCAATTGCGGAAGAATCGGACACCTTCGAAGAACATTTCGAAGCAGGGCTCGTTCTATGAATCGAGAATCAGAGAATGATGCCAGAAATTCAACTAAATCAACCTCCCCAAGCCCATCACAGTCCAACAAGAAATAATTACAGCAGATATGTCTCCCGGAGAAGCCGGTCACCCACACTTAGCCGGCTTTCTAGAAATAACCAGGGAAACGAATAAAGGTCGACACTACGGGGCAGGGGTCGGCTGTGTCAGAGGGCCCCTTAATTCGCACTTACACCTTAAATAAAAACAAACAAAAACCAGTGTAACAATATGAATGAATGGCTGGCAGAAGACCAGCACGTGTATTTACCATTGTTTACAAAGGGGGAAATTATAAACTTGAGAGTTATTTCTTGGACCTAAATTAAATTGTTTAGAATGTGGAATTTAAGTTCCTAAATGTATGTTATCAACCAGAGTGAAGATATATAATGCTTGGCATTCTCATTCTATATTATACTCTTCACAATTTAACAGACCACCCCCTCCTTTAACCCCCATTTCCATTCAATTCTTTTTTTTTTTCAGAATAAATGTGCTTCATCCCCTTATAAAAATTGATTTTTCCTGATTATTTCATTTTAATCTTTTTTTCGTTTTCGAGTTAGGATTTTTTTAAATATTTTAACCCCCCCCCCCTTATCTCCCCTTTTTTATTTATTTATTCATTCCCTTATAGAGCTAGATTTTTACTAAAAATATCATTTTTAATTAGATTTTTTTTCAAAATCAATAGGTTTGTTCTCCTCATGGAGCTTGATTTTGCTAAAAAATTCAAGTTGATATCATTTTTCGTTTTTTTTTTTTAATATTTCAACCCCCCTCTCATTCTTATTCACGCTTCGCCCTTTTACAGACCTTGATTTTTCTTGAAATTTTTAAATTGGTATCTTTTTCGTTTTTGATTTATCATGCGGACAAAAAACGTAACATAGGGCGGACGGAACCAAATAGTACTCTTCTACTATATTAATAGTATTACAATAATAGTATTACAGTTCCTAAATTTATGTTACCAATAATAGTATTACACTCTACATGTATCCAACATTTTTTGTATAAACCCATAATTTATTGTGCATCATGTACAAACCTATTTCCGAAAACGCTTCGTTTGCGAGATACAGGTTCTTAAAAACGTTTTAATTGATATCTAAAAATCACTTTTACTGATTTCAATGCCATTTTTACTTTCCTCTCTGTATATGGAAGGAAAGTATAGGAATCATGATTTTTTCGACCTGGAGTTTTAGACGGATTTTTACGTTTAATCCTCCCTCTAATGAGTTGATTAGATTTTGAGCGTAGTCAGAGCATCTGGGGGGTGGTTTTTCTACTTTATGGAATAGATCTGTTATTTACGCCGGGAGAAGAAAATTCGTCAAATAAAGGTTGCTTATTATTGTGATATTCTCTAAAATTTTTGTCATATACATGATATTCAAAAAATTTAACAAAAAGTGATAAATTCTAAGTTTTAAGAAAACTGTTTTAATAAAAGTTGCTTGTGAAGTCATTCTCTATCATTTTTGTCCTATACATGAGTTCCCTAAAATGGACCGTATTCGAAATATTTAACTGTGGTAAGCTGATTAAATTTTTTGGGCATAGCCGAAGCATCTGTGTGGGTACTTCGTAGGATGTCGTTTTTTTTACTGTAATAAATAACTATTATTTAGGATTGGAGAAACAATTCTTCAAATAAAAGTTTTTGCGATATCATTCTCTATAATTTTTGGTCTATACATGATTTCTCTAAAATGAACCGTAATGGAAACATTTGTAATGTGTGTGGAAAATGTATGTATTTAGTTCATCTTCTGAACATTTACAGGGGTGATACAATAGGTTGTACAAAATATCCAGAAAAAGCCTGCATGTAATAACTTGACAGGAAAGTTATGTGTTGGGCACATTACATTTTTACAATTTGTTGATATTTTAATTAGGTATCTTTTGGGCCTTTCCGATGGCGTGCCTATGGAGAAAATCGGTTTGTATGTGCACAAAAAACAGGACCCACAAAGATTTTTGTCATTTTTTATTTTTTGGGTTGAAGCATTAAAATACAACTAATACAACCTTTTTTGATTTGAGAAAAATATAGAAAAACAACATTTGCTCGTCCATGAACCTATTACATTTAAAAAAAAATCCAATATTGCTGACAGTGGCACACAAAGTTTGTTTACATTGTTTTTTTTGTTAGGTGCTTGCCTTTGTTTTAACTCTTCAACTGTTGATATTTATATTTGAAGATTATGAAAGATTTTCACTTTAAGATATTTTTTTATCCAAGAATTTTGTTGCCCTATTTATTATTAATTTTCTATTTAAGGTAAGCAAGCTTATCTGCACTCATTATTAAATTTAATAATATAAATGTTTATATGACTAACTTGATAGTAGTTGTCATAGGTATCTTACCAATAGTGGCAATTACAACAAAATAATAATTATTATTAGTCATATGTAAACAACTAAAACTATAAACAAGGGGAAATACCCTAACCGCAAAACCATAAAGTGCTATATTTTAATCAACTATATACTTTGATAATAACATCTCTGATTTGGCTGATGTTTTCAATGGTATTCTGAATTTAAACCAATACTACATTTTCGTCCAATTGGAATCCAGCCTTATTTAAGCCCCAAACTTTATGGTATAATATTGGTTATTAATAAAAATAATGAAATACAATAATAATGGACTCTTTGGTAATAACACACGAACTTATCTACATTATTTAATTTTTTTCTTAAGAGTTCTTTGTAAAAGGGAACTAAACCAAAAAAAAAATAATTTGTAGAAAATATAGGAAACAAAATCAACATTTTCTATTAAGTAGGTATTCTACTATATTTTAATAAACCATGTAGAAATAAAAACTAAAAATAACACATACAGTACCTAATATTATAATATTGTAATAGTTGTTATTAAAATTTAAAAATTAACATAATCATAATAATAACTTAAAGATACAGGATGATTTTGTCAGTTCATCAGCCTGTACCAATTAATTGTCAGCCACAAAACTGTTATCTGTCAAAATAAGATGAATATAATGGCTAAATAATTGAAAATTACCATTAATTTTGTTTTATCAATTATTACTTTAAAACATTCTACAGGGTGTCAATTTGAAAATAAACAGCATTTAATATTGCCTCTACCAATGATAGTATGAAAATTCAGCGAAATATGTCAATTTATATATCAAAGGGGACAATTATTGAGGCATTTTTGTCGTATTACTTTTAACCCCCTGACACCCATGCTAAATGGCAACCCCCTATTTCTTTTACATTTTTTGTGTTCCTTATGTAATTCTAGAAAAATTGCATTATTATTTTGTTTGTCAAAATTGAAGTATCTAACCTCACAAATGTGTGGAATGAATTTAATATTGCTACTCTGCACCCTGCAGTAGCCTGCGACTGTTATAGGAAACGTACGAATTAAAAAAAGAAGTGTAATAAGTAAAAGTACTAGTAGAAGAAAGAGAGAAAAGTCTAGAAATGTCATTCCATGTAAAGAAACCTATGGACGGTTCGAGAAGGTTCTAGATGGTTGAAGCGAGCTATATAAGTATGTCAGAAGGTCAGTTTTATGATTTATGACATATAATTCATGAGGTAGAAAATCAAAGGTATGACAATGGAAAATCTGGCTCTAGATGAACATTTGCTGCATTTCCAACAGGACGGAGCACCTCCTTATTATGTACGCTCAGTAAGAGAGTGGTTGGATAATTATTATCCAGAGCAGTGGATTGGTAGGAGAGGACCCATAGAATGGCCACCTAGGTCTTCAGATCTGGATTTTTCTATGGGGTCACTTGAAATCCGTTGTATTCAAAAACCAACCAGACTCAATTGTACAAGAATGTAGAACTATTTCACCTGAGATTCTTCAACACATCTGAGAACAGTTTGAATGTCAGATGTGTACTTGTGCTTACAACACAATGGAAACCATTTTGAACAATTCATAGCCTAATAAATTACTTCAATTTTGTTTTTATGTGCATTTGAAATTGTAGTCGACTACTGAATCATTCAAAAATGTATTCCAAATTCCAATAGTAGGCCAGTTTGATTGCTTCCTTTTTTTTATTTATTTTTTTTTATTTAAACCCTTGTTCTAGATTAAGAATCTTAAAAATGTAGACTGATAACGGATCTCAAAGGCCAACTACTTACTAATAGTTTGGTGTGTGAAGGGACAGAATATAACGAGAATTTTGCTGATGTTTTAAATCAATATTACATGTGTAGCATTCATAATATTGTGTTAACTATTGATATAAGTGATGATGACTTTGCAGCTTGCTTGGAAACAGTTCCCTTCAACAAATCATCAATGACGAAGTTTAGAACAGTTACCCTAAGCAATTTGTATGAAGTAATTAAAACTCAAAAAAAGAAGTCTAGTACCGATGAGATAGGTATTGATATCATTAAGAATCTATTTCATGTACTTGATTATCCATTACTTAATTTAATAAATACTAGTTTAGATAAGGGTATTGTTCCACAGAGATTTAAAACATCAACAATAATTCCAATCCCAAAAATATCTAATACAAACAAGGCAGATCAGTTGCGACTCATAAATATGCTTCCATTTTGTGAAAAACTTTTAGAAGTAGTTGTGTACAATCAAATCATGGATTTTATAACTTCAAATAAAATACTATGTCATTATCAATCAGGCTTTAGGAAAGCACATTCTTGTGAGGAGGCTTTACAATTAGTTGTTTCAAATAAGAAAAATATTCTTAATAAACCAGGAATTGGTATCTGCGCAGTTTTTGTTGATCTTAAATGTGCATTTGAAACATTTTACTTCAAAAATTAAAAAAATATGGATTTAGGGAAACTGTCTATGATTGGTTGTATAATTACTTATTAAATAGATATCAAGTAAATCAAATCCAGAATTAAATACTTTTGGGGTGCCACAGGGAAGCGTGCTTGGACCCTTACTATTCATACTTTATATAAATGACTTGGGACAGATTCTAAAAAATGTCAAATACAACATTTTGCAGATGACACGTTTATCTATTATTATGGGGATGATTTTGCTGAAGTTGCTGAGACCGTCAACCATGAATTGGGGTTAAAATCTAAATTCAAACAAAATAAATTAAAAGTTAATGAGATGAAATCAAAATTTATGTTCATTGGTAACAACTTTCTATACAATAAATTTTAGAATTTAAATTTAGGCATTAAAATAAATAACAAAACAGTAGAAATGGCCCAAGAAATAAAGTAGTTAGGAGTTATGTTGGATAGAGAACTAAAATTTAATAAACACATTGAGTATATCTGTAAAAACGTAGGAAAAAAATTGGATTTTTACCAAGAGTGTCACCATATCTATCAATTTCAACTAAATTGACTGTATATAATACACTTATTCTACCCCAATTTTATTATTGCTGTTCTTTAATATATACAGGATGTTTCAATTTTGATAGTCTACAGGTTCTACAAAAACAAAGCGATGCAAGTGATACTAGGTTGTAACAAATATACCAGTATTCAGTTATGTTACATACCTTAAATTGGCAAGTGTTGAAAAACTGCTATGTGTACAACAATGGTTTTTATATTTAAAATAATAAACAATTTGTTGCCTGAATATCTTAACTGTCAACTAATCCCCATCATAGAAATGCATCAAAGAAACACAAGAGCAGCAAACTCAATCAAATTTTATATACAAACAACTAATAAAAGTAATTCTATGAAAAGCTTATTTCATAAAGGGATCGATTAATTCAATCATATGCTTCAAAATTTTAAAAATGTTCAGAATCCTAATTAATTTAAGAAAAAACTTATCATTTATATTAAAAATAATTTATGAATTATATAGTTGAAAATTGTTCTTTTTTTCTTTTCTTTTACTTGTTATACTTTTAGTCAGTATGTTATGTTAAATACCTACATCACTGTTTCTTTTATTCTTTTCTTTTTTCTCTTTTTTTTTTACTATATGTATGAGGGACAATTATGTTAAGTTTTAAGTTTTATGTTTATTTTGATTTTGAATTATTGTATATTATCTTTAATAAATAAAGTTACTTATTACTAGCAAAACAGGAATTTTGTTTGTTTTTGTTTTGAAGTTTATAATAAAAATGAAAATATTAAAAGTGAAATTTGAATGTCCAAAGATTGGAAAGAAACCATATAGGTATAATTAAATTATGAACTACTTTTTATTGACAATCAAACATGAAGTTCCTTCAAAAGTGACTGACAACTGGCAAAATCACCCTATTACTTGTTTTAAAATGAAGTTTAACTTTACTAGCAAATAACCAAACTACCTAGTCCAGTGGAAAAATATTAAGAAATAATATAAATATGAAAAATCAAAAGAATTATATAGGTAAATGTAATGGCTTTCAGGAAGAGACAGCTATGGATGGGAGGAAATATATACAAATAAAATTAATTAAGCGATACTGCCTTCCTATATAAGCATAAAAGTCATATCTAACAATAGAACTAATAATGCTAAATACTTCAGATACTCCTATTCTGATTAAAAATACAACTGAGTTTGTAAAAATGATAACTAGTTTTGAGTGTAAAACATGTATTTATGCTGCAGATGGCTTTAGGTATATGTATACACGAGTGTATACATTAAACATATGAGTGGAACATTCGCAAGGAAAAGAGATCCTCCAATTTATCCAAAAATTTAAATACTACTTTTCTGCTTAGAATAGCAGTATGATACTCTTAGAGCAAGATTATGTGCACACAAATTAAAGTTTTACTCACTTGTTTCTGTCTTAATGAGGCTGTTTGGGTCTATCATTATATTTGGTTGTACTGCAAATGTATGTGGGATTTGCATAGGAGAATGTTCATAAGTTTCATATTCAAAAGTATTTGAATTTGGCGAAGCAACAAGTAAAACTGACTGTGGAGAATCTTCTAAACTCGATGGGGGCGTCAATGGATAGGAAGACATGCCTGAAAAACAACAACACAAAATAAGTATGAACAAAATTTGCATCTATTGCGCCACACTAATACACTTTAAAATTAATTACTTTTTTCAAACATAGAAAAATATTCAGTATTCTGTTGGTTCACGATCATATTTTATTCTACTGGCACACAATAACACTATCAATACAAATACGACTCTTACTGAGTCTTAAGGATGATACTGAATGAGCTCACCTCTAAATTATAAATGAAATTCAACTTCACTGTCTAAATAAAATAGTTGACATCTAAAAATTACAGAGAAAACGGTTTAGGTTATTCCCCATTTCAGTTTATGGGCACGTCAGGGGTTTGCGCGGTGAAGGGAAATGTAATAAAAATCCCAGTGATGATGCGTCTACAGCTTTTGCGCATGCCTCAAATTTAAGAATAATATATAATAATCTTATCTTTGATATGTAATCAAATGTTGCTTTATTCCAACAATGTAATATGTAATTTCAATATTCTTAAAAGATATAAAGTATATTTTCTACATTTACAAAAATGATAAAAATAACGCGCACATTCTTTTTTGTTCTTCAACTATCTTCTTTTTTTAGATTAGACGTAAGCGTGCCTTGATTATTGTGTTGTACAGCAACCGATAGTGGTTTGAAAAAAGATCGTGATTCACTCACTGGGCATTAAAAATGGATTATTTGTAAAAAAGATTATTCTGTTATTATAGAACCGGAAGTTGTAAAATTTCCGGGTATATAAGGTGGGTGTTCTGTTGAGAATATTCCCTAGATGGAAATTTACCAGAATTTACGAATTGAATAACTAATAATGCTCAATTTGAAAGAAACCTATTCATGTAATTAAAAATTTTTATTATGCTTGAAAACGTGGCGCTTTTCTACTTTTATTTAGATAAAAAAAATATTTAAATGCTATGGTATCGGACTATCTCATCTCCAACCTATATGTACATCGTTTAAATTAAATGATCTGACGACTTACCTTAAGGAAGTTTGATCCATTTATTCCATTTTCCACAGTGCTGGGGTTTCCCAGTTTGCAGTTTATTGCCTGTTTATTGCAATGTGCAAATAATTTAGATAAGAGAGCCAAATAAGCTCCGAATAATTACATATATCGTCAGCCAGAACATATGCAACCCACTGAACCATCATTGTTGCATATAATATATTATGAAGGCTTTAATACAAAGAAGTCTCCACTTCATTGGTTTAATAGCAAAAACAGCACATGTCAGAAAATTTAATTTTTGAGGTATAGGCAACACTGCCTTCAGATAATCCATAGCACAGATCTAGAGTGTTCTAGATCTGTGATCCATAGTTATCGGTAGGTAATTTTATTTCCGGCAAAAACAACTCATATCACCCGTAAAAAGCCTATCGAAATATAATATTTTACGCTGGTACTGCTTTTCGTGTTTAAGATATTAGGTTTTTTAACTATCCTGAAAATATTGATTTTTTGACAAGTGCTGTTTTTGCTATAAGCCTTTCATATCCAAGCACTCGCTCACTAATCAACTAATGTCATTGTTTAATAATAATTATTGTTTAAAAAGTAGCTATTTTTTAACTTATAATTCATAGATTATGAAACATGCCCCGAAGGCATATGTATATAAATACAATGTACTTTATCAAATGGCACCTATGCCACAATCACTATCCTGAACAAAGTAGAGATTATTTTATTTTCAAAAATCATACATAATTTTGTTTTCCTTTAAAGTTTCCCACAAAATACCATATTCAAATGTTTCTAGAGTACATCGTTAAAGTAAAACATTGTCTTCCCCTTAATATGACACAAAAATCATTTTTTCTACACACAGTATATTTTTTAGTTATTGTGTTAAATATATATTTCCTTCGACCGACCATTTATTATGTAATTTAACGCACTCAAAATCGTTGATTAATGACCCCAGACCTAGGAGCAGATATTTTTTTCTTAACCATCCTCCCGAGTCCTACCGCTTGCCGAGTCCTACCGCTTGCCGAGTCCTATCGCTTTCCGAGTCCCTCACATGTTGCGTTTACGCGTTTGAAATAATTGGGGAGTACCTTTTAACGTTGATTTTGTTTCGTACAATTTTATTTTCTAATTCTTGGGTTTATATAAAACATTGAGGTGTTCAGTATTTTCCTTTTTTTTCAGTAGGGTTAAAAAATTCCATTCTTTCGATGCCCTTATAAGGATTGTTTTACCGAAACTCAATTCGAGATTCTTCTACTTTCTACAAATTTAGATTTTAAAATTGTTAGTAAATGAATGAATCAAGAACTATACAAATACTGAACATATAATTTGGCTCCTGTACGCTTTAGGTACCTCGAAATTTAGAAAAAAAAATTGATTACACTAATAGTATGAGAGCCCACTGCTAATTTTGACCGTCATCTGATAACGAAATGAAATATGCTCTAAAGGCATGTAACAATATTGTACTTTACCAAATTGCACCTGTACCAATCCCTATCCTGAGCAAAGTGGTTAAAAAAAATTATTTTATATTCAAAAATTCACATAAGACATGACAACGACAATTGTGTTTTCCCTGAAAATTACAATCCTAATTCATTGTGAAACTAGCTTTTAAACCTGAATTATTAATATTTTTACCTACCTTTTAAACCGAGTTTATGTATGAAAGGAAGAAGGATGGCATTGTATAAACCATTTGCAGAGATAGTCAATAATAATTATAAACTCTTGTTAGACAATAATTTTAAACCATAATCATAGTAGTTTTTTTGTCGTTTCTATGGCACTATGGCAACCTGTAAAAATGAATCACAACAATAGGCATACAAATAATATTTTAAATCAGCACACAATGGGTCCTATGATTGAACGTTTATGTTATCCATAACGTACATGTTATGCCGAATTTTAAAAGTAACGAGGCAAGTTCGGATGATGGAACACTGTTAAATTAGAAGATAACAGGCGGAAAATAACAGTAATGTGTTGGAAACCGTTTTTCATCATACGAACTTGCCTAATTACTGTTAAAACTGAGCCTAACATGTACGTTACGGATAACGTAAACGTTCAATCATAGGACCCATTGATTCACATTTTTAATCATTTTTACCTACTAATCATGAATAGATATTTTTGTGCAATGTTAAGAAGAAGAAAATATTTCTCTTAAACGATATATATCAAGATATATTTGAATGTTATTTTCTGGAAAACTTTAAGGGCAAACAAAATTAGCGCTATCATGCCTTATGTGATTTTTTTAATATAATATAATTTTTTAAAGCCACTTTGCTCAGGATTGGGTTTGGCACAGGTGTCATTTGGTAAAGTACAATGTTTTTCCATGCTTTTGGGGTATATTTCATTTCGTTATCAGATGACGGTAAAAATTTGCAGTGGGCTCTGGGGCTATAAAAAGTACCCATTACATATTGTATACTTCTAAAAAAAAAGGATACGAAAATTTTATCAAATTTACAATTTTATAGGCTATATCGTAATTTTTTTTACAATTAAAGAATGGGTAATATCAATATTTACGTATTTTGTCTTGTAACTAACTGAAATTTATTTATAAAGATTTTCCTTGCCCTAATTAATTAATTAATTTTACGTTATAAAAATATTTCAGTCTTGTTAATATTCACATATTTTATGTAGTATAAGGTGTAAAGTACTGAAACTCTTGGCAAAACTGTAAGAAAATGATAAAATGTTAGGTTAGGAACATCAAAATCTTAACTTTTCTTAGAAAATATTCTGTTATCAGCATTTTTTTAGAAATTTATTCTATAGAATGGGTACTTTTATTGTTTAAATTAATTTTTCAAATTCCGTCGTACCTAAAGCGTACCGGACTCTATTTTTTACTTATAAGTATACCTATATACCTTGCTTACAAAAGTGAGAAACGAAGATACTTTTATTTTCTTTTATTATTTATTTATTTATTTATTTCTATATCATTCTAAATACATATACATTATAATGCATCAGTGAGTTATCAATGTCTAATTTATTCTGTATTTATACTAGGTATTCATTTGAATAATTATTAAACTTTGTATTTATACTTGTAACTATTCCTATTTATTTATATTTTCTTGAATATATATTATTATTATTATTATTATTATTATATCATCTTTCTGCATTTTTAACATAACCTATTTTCAACTGCTACGACAATAATAAGCAATATGTCCACTTCAATCAAATCAAAGATCGGTATGCGCATACGCAGCCAGTGAGGACTCGGCAAGCGGTGGGACTCGGGAGGATGGTTAAGAAAAAAATATCTGCGACCTAGGACCGTAACCGTATCGACACATACAAACAAATATTCTTTGCATGTTTTGATATGCGACAACGCCCACTAGACCGTTCCGTCACCGGCCAACACCGTAGCGTGCCATGACAGTACCGTCAACAATTTCACGGCGAGAATATTTTGCAGGTACCGACACGCACCGTCCATGGTAAGCTATGTTGTATATGAGAATAAAACGCTGTTGATTCGCTGCAGTGGGCCCACTAGTGACCGGAGTGCTTTTTTTCGTGCATGACCATAACAGCAACGTGTCAGGTACGAAAGAAAGCACTCCGGTCACCTGTGCCGGTCACTACTGGGCCCACTGCAGCAAATCAACAGCGTTTTATCCTCACATACAACATAGCTTACCATGGACTGTGCGTGTCGGTACCTGCAAAATATTCTCGCCGTGAAATTGTTGACGATCCTGTCATGGCACGCTACGATGTTGGCCGGTGACGAAACGGTCTAGTGGGCGTTGTCGCATATCAAAACATGCAAAGAATATTTGTTTGTTTATGTCGATACGGTTATCCGTCCTAATATGGTAAGGTATAATGGGTAGAAACCAAGCTTTAATCCATCCTGCAGTTTTGAATAATGTTTATCTTTAATTCATACTCTAAACAAAAATAGGTCGTACTCAATATATTTGATAACTTTACAGGAAAGACATGTGTTGGACACATAATATTTTTAAAATAAAAGAACTAGAAATACACGTTATCAACTACCTTTATAAAAATTCAAAATAGATAAAACTAAAAGAAAAAATAAGACAATAAAAATATTTCTAGTTGAAGACTTTGATTTGCCATATTGTTACTTCATCCGTTTTCTCCGTTCTTTTTCTTTCAAATGTAGGACACATTAGACCTTCCATTCCCTCTTGAGCCAATGACATTCTGTGAGGACATTCTGTGTACATTAGCATGAAACAGTCCTGCAGACGAATGTTGCCACTGATGCAAAGAGATCATACATACCTCTGAAGACTTTTTTGTCTGTAAATAATTTTCCATTTTGAGCTATATTATTAGGAATTTCACAACTTACAGAAGGTCTAACTTCTAAATCTTCTGTATCTAACTGTGTTGTGGAATGAGTTTGTTCTTGCTCAGACGCAGAATTTTGCTTTTATTATTTTTTTTTTTTGTTAAAACGCTCCAAACTCATACTACCTGCTTAATTTATTAATGGTGTGGGTAGCCACGTGTGAGTAAGGTACATAGATGAGGTAGATACAGGAAAATAAAAGAAAACGTTCTTTAAATATTATTTGTATGATAATGTTAATCTATCTTATTACAATGTTAAATCACAATATTGCAACAGGTACACCTAGATAAAATTGTGAGATTTAGAGGATGTTTTCTTTTTATTCCCCATCATCTACCTTAAATTACGTAATACCTAATTGGTAGTTCTACAATTCATACTAAGTGAAATATTTTTTACAAATTACAGAGCAAGAAAGGACTCGAAGGCACACGCAGGGCACCTACGAGAGCTTATTGAGTCTGAAAAAAATCTGATTAAAAATGGTGGTTAGGGGGCTTGTTAAACTATGAAGAGTATAAAATAGAATGCCAAGCATTATATATCTTCATTCTGCATGTAGGTAGACCAATAGAAAAAGTAAAGGGCTAGACCTTTTTCTTTATTTATTAATTTTTAAGTATTAGGGATTCCAAACAAAATGACTACCAGTGGGTTTTGACAGGTTATAAAATGGCAACATTATGACAACCCTGTAGGCCTGGAGATTTGACAGGGTCAATGTAATAGATAGTTATATAGATTGATCATCCATGTTTTTCAAAATGGACATAGGATTGGAAGGGTCGTTATAGGCATTGAGACATTTCCTTGGTGCATTGGCGACAGAAGTGGGCACAATAGATATTTTAGGTCGCAGTGCATTAACACCCCATTCCCAACATAACATAACATATATTGACCCTGTCAATGACAACAGGCCCACAGGGTTGCCATATCTAAACCGTCAGATCCCACTTGTCATCATTTTGATAGGTCGTTGGAATCCCTAATTCAATGTTTGACAACCTTTTTGACGTACAGATTATAAATAAGATATCCCACAATAGTATATACAGTTGTATTATTTTTTTATTAAATTTAACTTCATAAATACCATCACAATATATTATGTCCCCGGATGGAGTAATAAATGAGGCAAACTTTTTTTTATTTTTAACTTTCACGAAAGTGTTTGTTTGCTTCTTTTTGCTCAATTTCGGGACTTCCACGAAAAATTAAATTTCTTAATTTAATTTGTTTTCGCTTTAGGACGAATCTTCTCATCACTGAGTAAAGTTGGAAGTAACTACTTGCAGATTAAACGATAGGGCTATTGTTTGTTAATCTGTCAAGTAAACCTACATGTAACTTTACTCAGAGGTAAAAAGATCGACCCTCAGTTTTTTAGAACCAAAATAAAAAAAGGTACGATAGGATCTAAGAAATCTAAACATACTAAAAAAGAAAATATATTATATACTTTATAACAATAAAAAATATAGTACTGCCCACACCAACTCATTCGCACAATAATTCTATTGATGAATCTTTGGTACTACAGTTACAGTACTGAGCTATATCTTCATCGAAGAAATAATTATTCACTTCACTTATTTATTTGTAAAAATTGTTCATTCTAAACACCTTCTTTCTTCTCAAAAATGCTGCCTCGTTTCTTCCATGCGTCTGACATTCTTCGTCCGACTTTTTTCCTAATTTCAAAAGCTTCGGCTTCTTCGATTGTATCAGGTAACTTACAGTCCAATGTTTCTGGCAATTTTAATGTCAAAATTGCACCTAATAAAGCTATTACTCCAAAAATAACTGGCGGAATCCAAGTTCCAGACGAATTTAGACTCGCTACAAATGGGGCGATCATAGATCCAATTCTAGCACACATGGAAGAGAATCCTACACCAACATTTCTTATTACTGTTGGGAAAAGTTCTCCAGAGTATATATAAACACTTGGGAAGGATAAAGCCATACCAAACATTCCTATTGACGATAAAGTGGTTTTTATCCAAGATGGGTTTGTTGGAACAAAACCTGAAAAAGAAAATAAATGTCAGGTTTTCAAGAACTTCTCCAACCAATTTGCTAAAAGTAGATGTATATGTATAACTCACCCATTATCAGAAGAGATACTCCAGCAAGAGCGTTTGCTACCAACAGCGTCTTCTTTCTTCCCCAAGCTTTGGTAGCGTAACAAGCAAAGAGAGTACTGGGTACTTGTATAATAGCAGATATAGCAACGTTGACAAATATATTCCCACCAAGTTGACCGATAAATTGAGACACTCCAAAGAAACACAGTCCACAAACCAACCAATTAAACCCAATCACAATCGTGTACATCCTCATAACTGGCGTCCTAAACAAATCCATCATGTTTCCTTTATGTACTTCTTTTTGAGTTTGATCTTTGGTTTCTAAGTAAAGACTGACGTCCGTCTCTATTTTTTCGGTGGGTAGTTTATTACATTTGGCTGCTTTTTTTAAAGTTGCGATGGCTGCTTCTTTGTTGCCGACGGCCAGCTGCCATCTCGGAGACTCTGGCAAGAGCCAGTAGTAGGAAATGAGAAACAACGAAGGTACTGATATAATGATTTGAAATTGTCGCCAATTGCGAAAATAGTAGCTAATTAGAGGCATGAAAAGGTGGCCGAGATTGAAAGGAATTTGGTAGAGGATACCAAGAACTGTTCTCCATTCGGTACCTAAAAAAAATATATATTTAGCACTATTGTTCTGTTATTATAGTGTTTATTAGAAAATTGAGAAAGGGTTTGAAGGGTACATAGGTAAAAAGATGAATGTCACAAATAGTTATTTGTGTACCAAGGCTGTAAAGTTGATCTTCTTTGGGTGAATCAGAAATTTCTGGTTAGGCCAAAAAAGATTATACGGTCAAGGTACATATAATTCTTTAGGCAACTGTCTTATCAAGTAGGGCCAATAAATTTTTTACATTATGTTTTTGAAAAGAAGCTTAAGGCGCGTATTCATACAGCAAACAAGGCGAAGCAATTCGTTCGAATGAACTTTTTTGGTGACGGAACCTTTATGAAAAGCGAAATATTTGACGGAGCCCTAAACATCTTGGTGACTAAAAAAAGGTCTCGAGCCAGGTCCCTCCCTTTCGTGACCATAGTACTGTTTTTTTATTATGACTATTATTTTCTTAGCGGAGCCCCCCCCCCCCACAAAAAATAAAAAGTCCTCTAAGCAAAATCATATGACTTCTAAAAGAGAAGGCTGACAAGATGAAAATGTTTAATTTGTTGTAAAACGACCCCTATGGGGTCGTTAACTGTTATACAGCGACCCCTTCGGGATCGCTGTTAATTATAAAGCGACCCTTACGGGTCGCTGAAAATAATAAATAAAGCGGGGTCGCTTTTTTTATTTTTTTTTTAATATAAAATATAAGGCAATGTATAAAAGGGGGTAAGGGGGGAAAACAAAATATTCATTTTTGTATTTATCTTACAAATCTCTATCAAAATTACTCAAAACATTTTTTCATATTTTTTAAAATTGTTAATAAAATTAATATTTTTTGGGGTTCGGGAGACAACGTCATATACCTTAAAATTTTCAAAATTCAATATCCTATAAACTGTGTGAATTTTGATACATTAAAAAATATAAAGTTAATCTTGGAGGATTTTTAAAAAGGGGGGATGTAGTGAACACCTTCAACACTCATAGATTTTGATCCCAAATACCCTACCAAAAGGATTTCATCTGAAATTAATTTTTAGGTTACTCCTGTTTTCAAAAAAGTGGTGGAGGGGAGAACATTTTGGTACCAAAGCGTTCGACTTTTGGTCTCATAAAGTACCCACACAATAATAGTTCTTCAATTTTATTCCTAAGTCACTCTTGGCGACTTTTAAAAAAGTAAGGAGGATGCAATGAATCTCAAAAACCTTCCCTTATGGTCCCATTAACTATTCGCGCAATATCCCAAAATATTTATTTTGAGTCCACTCTTGAAGATTTTTTTTGAAGGGTGGGGAGGGGACGAGATGGGTCTGACTCAATTCAAACTTTGGTCCCATACATCATGCGCACAATATAAATGTGAAATTTTTATTTTGGGGTCACTATTGAGGCTTTCAAAAGAGGGGGAGAGGGGGGAGGTAGTACCTAACGCCTTATTACTTTTGACCTCTGCTGACACTACGTCATAAAATATATCGAAAATAATTATAAAAAATAAAAAACAAACCCTATAAAAAATGTTTGTTTACCCGATCACACTACACACACTATAGTAAGATTTTTTTTCAATATGCAAGTTTTTTTTACCCCTCCCCCCCTAAAAAGTGGAGGGGGGAAAACAGGTGTTCGAAATGTCTTATATTTTTTTTCTATGCATTTATATACTTTTTATCACGATTTGTCCCATAAAAAACCCAGCTCATATTCGCTCTAGGTATATACCCAGACAACACACCAAATCCCAGAGATATCCACAGAATATCTTTTGTGGATATCCAATATATCCACAGGATATCAGAAATATTCCGTGGATCTAATATGGATATCCAAATGTCCGTCTATATCCAGAATAGAATATATATAAGATATCCTATGGATTATCCAGCAAAATATCTAATGGGTATCTTCCAGACAATACGAGAAATCCCAGAGATATCCACAGAATATATTTTGTGGATATCCAATATGAATATCCAACCAAATGTCCGTCTATATATAGAAGAATTCGGATATTCAGCAAAATATTTTATGGGTATATTTAGTAGAGGTTCATAAAAGTAACCAATGTTTATTGAATAACGTCGAAAGAAAATAGCAGAGAAAAAATATTTTCAACACTCTGCCTTTGATTTTGCCCACAAAGGAGAAAGTCATCCTTATTAGGACTCTTCAGCAATAAATGGAAATTCTCGACTCCAGTTTGATTGGAAAACAAAAACGATGGTTTGCGTTCGCGCCTAGACTTTGATTATTTAGTGGATGTCCATGGGATATTGAATACACCTTTAAAAAAATAATTTTAAATATCTGAACGGTACTATTAAGCCACAATGGCGAGCACAATGGCGTAATTTTTTAATAATTTGCTATATAATTACTATTATTTATGGACATTTGCATGTCTATAAATTACAGATCATGGATATAAAATAGATATCCACCATGGACTGGACATTCAGTGGATATTGGGATGTTCAGTAGATATCCAAAGGATTTGGTGTGCTATCTGGGTAGTGACGGTGGGGATGATTTTTTTTTTTTCATAACTTTCGATCCTACAATCTACATCCATCTAGATGACCTACGTAGCTAATTTTACTCCACCTAAAAAACCTTCAGGTAACAGTATTTGAACTTACCTACAATTTCCATGATAAGTACAAAACTTGTTATCATAGTACCTCCAGTTGCAACTGCCGACAAAAATTTCATGATCATGAATACTGAAAACCATGGCGAAAAACCCGCCGCTATTCCAGAAGCTGCTTGTAAAGTTACTGACAAAACCAAGGGATTTTTTCTTCCATATCTAAAAATTGTTTTTTATTAGTACCTACAGAAATTGGGTGTGTTTAATTAAGCTACGGTTTGTTAGAACAGTGCGCGACGCAAAACTCACAGTATGCTGATCGTCGCGCAAGTCCGGTAAAATCTAAGAATATTAATGCTATGAGAATGGTTTGATAGAGTCAGCCACATACTGTATGTGTAGTCAGCACACTTAGGCAGACAGCAGTGTATGTCGACTGATCAATTTGAGTTTGATTTGGACGCACTCGTTTACTTGTGCATACAGTAGACTGTCGAGTGAAATGAGGTTAGAATAATTTGTATTATAATTAAAGTGATAAAATGTATAAATTTTCTTCTGAAGAGGATATAATATTAATTCATATGGTAAAGAGGCATCCCGCACTTTACCAATAGAAAAGTAGGAGTTGCAAAGATACAATGGTTAAAAATAATAATAATAATAAATAATTATAACTAACAATTCTTCTTCGTCTTCTTTTTCCATTAAAATAATCGTTACAAACGCGTTATTTAATTCACGAAAACTAACGTGAGTCGAACGCGACAGATTCTGTCGTCCGCGTACGTCGAGAGTCACGCACAGTCCTAACAAATCGTAGCTTTGGATGGCTATAATATAAAAATAAGAAAATACTAAATGAATATACAACATTCGGTTTTCTACAGCTATAATACAAAACTACACTTTCTCAACCATTGTTGATTAAGAAATGAGGTACATTTCCTAATTTTATGATTCTGATAATACAAAGTAATAATTTGCGTATCAGAGTATTATCTGATAAATACAACACAAAGTAGTCAGGCATGGATGCTCACGCGCATGTCATCACTCACAGAGTAATAAAAAAATTTTCATTTGCACGTCAAAATTAGAACCGCACACGATACGTTACATCTTATGGTCGTATGGGCCGGATGCTATGACGTCACTCACAGAGTGATTTTCATTTTCACGTCAAAACAAGGACCGTCCACGATGCGCAACATCCTATCTTTTGGAGAATTATATCGTGCAAAGTATTCATTTCCTAATTATTTTAATTAAATCATGTGTGCTATGAAATGTCAAATATTAAACAATTGTCTAGAAGCGAGCTGTCATTTTAATTTTATATATTTATTATAATAGTACATTATATACCTAGGGTGAGAAGTGAGCTATTATTTACCGAGCACTTTTATATCCTGAGGCGCGTAGCGCCGAGGGATATAATGTGCGAGGTAAATAATAGCTTTCTCAGCCGAGGTATATATAGAATTTTTTTTACTACTAACATTAATGTATTAGCAATTTTAATTTTGACATAAGTAATTTCCTAACAATTTGTTAAATATTTCGAAATATCAAGCAGACTGGAGCGTGTTTCTAATCAGACTGGCTTTATTTATGTAAAAATTTGGCATGTGTCAAATTTTGGTATGATTCTAGGAAATATCCCATTGCATTTTTGATATTTTAATGACATGGATTTATTGTTATTAATTAATAATTTTTAAAGCCGGTGTTGAATTTCCTAGTTAATATATATTTTTACTGTTTACACTGATATATATTATCATATTTGATTTGATTAGATTTGATAAACCCAGCTTTAGTTATTTCCTACTTATTTTTCAAATATTTCAAAATATCAAGTAGTCTGGGAGTTTAGTTGTCAAATTAACAAAATGAAACTAATGAAATTTAGTTTCATTATTTACCTAGGTTTTTTTTTTATTATCATTATTTACCTAGGGAGAGAAATATTACTTCTCATTAGAGGAATGGAGTAAATAATGGTGATTTCTCATGTTAGTAGTAAAAAAATAGTATATTGTTTTATGAGTGACGAAAGTAACATTTTTTGAAGCGAGAGAACAATTTACCAGCCGAGGCTGGTGATGTTCATGAGTTTCAAAAATGTTTTCGACGATTGAAACACTATACTTTTTCTATAACCCTATTTATATCTTAATAATATCCTAAAAAAGAACACAGTTTCCGAAAATAAATTTTCGTGATTGTCAACTCTCCAATCCATGAATTTTGAATATATTTCTTTATATCTCTTTTTAGATTTTACTGGTAAATCCAAAGAGCTTGATTTGCTATTTCCGGTGATGTATTTGGAAAATCGAAATCACTTTCCGAATCAGAAATCATGATAATTCATTTTGGATTCCACCATTGTGTTAAACGAAGTTAAAGTGTCATTTTTCCATTAACAATATTTTAATCTTCGCTTAGTAATTTAAACTTCATTTAATACAACATGAAATACCTAGTTATGCATTTTCAATTATAAATGTAAAATTATTAGTGGTATGTTATGCATTTCGGCTCATAACTCTTATGTTTCCTTACGATTTGCAACCTAGGTGTTCTCGACCCATTACACTTACGGGCTTTCATTCCTAAATGACTATTTCGTTACCACATACTTTGATTTTCTTTTACTATACGAAGAATGGTCGAACTGCGCAGCTTTCTGAGTGCCTTTTAAAAGAAGATAGAAAACTCCGCCATTTTGATCCCTTATTACGTGTTGCCTACATCTTGGCGCAATATTTTTAATAGGTGCGTTTTAAGCATCCGCTTCTGCTTCGGAATTGTCGGTTTTCTTGTTTTAATTTGACAGGTTAAAACGACTAAACCAACAATTCCGGAAGCAGAAACGGATGATTAAAACGCACCTGATATTTTGCTTGCTGCTGTCAGTGTCAATGAATATTATTTTTGGAGTCACAGTTTATTGCTGAAGAATCAGTTAGCTCACTCGGACCAGTTGAAAGTTCCAAAATAACATCCACTCCAGGGATACAAATTTAGGATGCGCAGAAGACTGCTGTTTTATTATAGGCGGTTGTCATTCATGTATTGTATTATCCGAGTTGCGCAGTGTATAAACTGGAACATTGAGATCAAAAATGCCGACACTGTCGACGCAGAGTGAGCGATCTAATTCTTTAGCTATAAACTGTGGCATAGGAATCAAAATGGCCGCGCCCTATGTTGGGCGTGTCGGACCTCTCTCTTGCACCGTATAGTAATCAAAGTATGTGTTCGTTACATATATTATACTAAATAATTTAAAATATTACAAAAAAAACTTACTTGTCAGACATAAAACCAAACAACATGCTGCCAACTAAAATTCCCAACATTGTTATCGTTTGTGTTAAATTGACTAAATATGATTTCGAACAGATTAGGTCCCATTCTGTAATAATTGTACTTTCAAAAACAGACCTGAAAATAAATAAAAATATATTCTACGAGGACGATATTGAAAAGAGATATTTAAGAAGTTGTTTATTAAAGGACCTGAGTTACCAAAAGTTTCACTCTGTACTTCTGGGATAAACCATTTTTCGGGTATTTTGGAAAATATTTCCCAATTTTATATTAGTGTAAATTGAAAGCTAAAAGACTCCTCTTTAATAACAAGTAGGGTTGCCTTTGTTTGCATACGCACAAATGATGAATGAATTGGTTTTTGTCCCGCGGCTCATACTATCGTTCCCACAAGATGAGGAACCTTAAAAAAGTCTTTTTTGGTTTAAAATTATGAAAAATGACTATAAATATAAATTTATTATTTACGGCACATTCTTTATTAATACATTTTCCGGTTTTTCAGAAAAGAAAATTATAAGCAGTAAAATCGGTATTGATATCAACAAAACATTTTTTAGAACAATTACATATACTATTTCACTCCCCGTTTCCCCCCCTTAAAATGTGAAAATCAAAAAACACTGAAAAACGTCATTATTTATTCATGATGACCAGCTACAATTCGAATTTTCAAGTTCCTACCATTAAAAAATCGATACTTTCATACATTCGTCCATCCCCCGTTTCCCACCCTTAAAATGTGAAAATCCATAACCCCCGAAAGACGTCATTATTTATTTATACTTAGTAGATGTATTTCAAATTTTTATGTTTCTAACGTCAAAAAACAAAGAATTTCATACAATATTGCCCTCCCATTTCCCTCCCCATTCCCCTCTTTAGAGTTGAAATTTTCAAAAATCCTCTCTTTCAAATTTCAGCTTTCTAGTTTTGGCTGTGCGTTGGTAGATCAGTCAGTCAGTCAGTCAGTCAGTCAGTCAGTCAGTCAGTCAGTCAGTCAGTCAGTCAGTCAGTCAGTCAGTCAGTCAGTCAGTCAGTCAGTCAGTCAGTCAGTCAGTCAGTCAGTCAGTCAGTCAGTCAGTCAGTCAGTCAGTCAGTCAGTCAGTCAGTCAGTCAGTCAGTCAGTCAGTCAGTCAGTCAGTCAGTCAGTCAGTCAGTCAGTCAGTCAGTCAGTCAGTCAGTCAGTCAGTCAGTCAGTCAGTCAGTCAGTCAGTCAGTCAGTCAGTCAGTCAGTCAGTCAGTCAGTCAGTCAGTCAGTCAGTCAGTCAGTCAGTCAGTCAGTCAGTCATGTCAGTCAGTCAGTCAGTCAGTCAGTCAGTCAGTCAGTCAGTCAGTCAGTCAGTCAGTCAGTCAGTCAGTCAGTCAGTCAGTCAGTCAGTCAGTCAGTCAGTCAGTCAGTCAGTCAGTCAGTCAGTCAGTCAGTCAGTCAGTCAGTCAGTCAGTCAGTCAGTCAGTCAGTCAGTCAGTCAGTCAGTCAGTCAGTCAGTCAGTCAGTCAGTCAGTCAGTCAGTCAGTCAGTCAGTCAGTCAGTCAGTCAGTCAGTCAGTCAGTCAGTCAGTCAGTCAGTCAGTCAGTCAGTCAGTCAGTCAGTCAGTCAGTCAGTCAGTCAGTCAGTCAGTCAGTCAGTCAGTCAGTCAGTCAGTCAGTCAGTCAGTCAGTCAGTCAGTCAGTCAGTCAGTCAGTCAGTCAGTCAGTCAGTCAGTCAGTCAGTCAGTCAGTCAGTCAGTCAGTCAGTCAGTCAGTCAGTCAGTCAGTCAGTCAGTCAGTCAGTCAGTCAGTCAGTCAGTCAGTCAGTCAGTCAGTCAGTCAGTCAGTCAGTCAGTCAGTCAGTCAGTCAGTCAGTCAGTCAGTCAGTCAGTCAGTCAGTCAGTCAGTCAGTCAGTCAGTCAGTCAGTCAGTCAGTCAGTCAGTCAGTCAGTCAGTCAGTCAGTCAGTCAGTCAGTCAGTCAGTCAGTCAGTCAGTCAGTCAGTCAGTCAGTCAGTCAGTCAGTCAGTCAGTCAGTCAGTCAGTCAGTCAGTCAGTCAGTCAGTCAGTCAGTCAGTCAGTCAGTCAGTCAGTCAGTCAGTCAGTCAGTCAGTCAGTCAGTCAGTCAGTCAGTCAGTCAGTCAGTCAGTCAGTCAGTCAGTCAGTCAGTCAGTCAGTCAGTCAGTCAGTCAGTCAGTCAGTCAGTCAGTCAGTCAGTCAGTCAGTCAGTCAGTCAGTCAGTCAGTCAGTCAGTCAGTCAGTCAGTCAGTCAGTCAGTCAGTCAGGACAAACAATTTTACATACAGTGAGCATTATAAGTCGTACCCCCCTATCTAACTCGTTAGGAAAATCGCCGAGACACGTCAATTTTTGATTTCTACAATGTACATTTTTGTATGAATAGTTTATCCCTAATTTCATCCCTTACTGGAGGGGAGCAACCCTTTCGAAAAATTGAAATAGCATGAGGTGGTGAGTGATAGCTCATTTGAAAAGGGGTTTTATTCTCTATTCAACCGTGCAAAGGAATTGAAATTTAATCCATTAATTCTCGACTAATTATTGTTTCAGAATAACGAAAATTAACGTAGCACACTCATCCTTAGAATTAAAATTCGGCCCTGCATGATATCGGTTTTGGTTCAGACGTGAAGTAAAACTTTTTGCCATTATGCTAGGATATTAACTGCACGTTTTTGTTGATGTTTTTGCATTGCTTTGAGGATAAATGGTCAAAACAATAAACTGATGATATCAAGGAGAGTGCGAGTCAGTGTATTCTAGCTGTAAGTTTTGATTGCTATTCATCTCCATACAATAATGGTTGGACTACGTGAGTTAAATGAGAAATGCTAAGCGATTGTTATTTTTGGTGAGGCTCATCGCAATTATCATGAGGCTGTACGAATGTTCAATGAATGTTTTCCAGATCACCCTATTGATAGACATTATTTCAAACAGTTAGTGGGAAAATTTTATGAAAATGGCAGTGTGCAAAACAAAAAATGTTCTAAAATCAACTACTGGCCGAATTTGTGAATAATCCGTCCTCATCCAGTAGAATTATTGCCTTGAATTGTGAGGTTTCGCAGATGACTGTATTGAGAGTTCTGAAAAAAAATTCATTTCATCCCTATAAAATAAAGATGAACTGACGGGGGATGATCCAGACGCCGTCTAGAACATTGTGAAATTATATCTAATAATATTTTGCAAAATCCCAGCTACTTAAATCACATTTGTTTTAGTGATGAGGCTACTTTTTTTTAAACGGTCACGTGCATAGACAAAATGTGAGGTACTAGGGGCCCTATCCTCGGCTATCGTTTTCTGAAAAACGTATACGCTTTAGCAACATACGAGCTATTCGCTATTCTCGACATTCGTTTTAAAAGCATGTACGTTTTTAAAACGGGTGTTTTACAGCGAGCAGAATTTTTTACACGTTTTTGATAAAACGTGCATGTTTTCAAGTATTTAGTCAATGTCACTTATATGTCACTTTTAGGATGATTGATTGATTTTAACAAATTATACTTTTTATTAATATTAATACAAAAGTATCTAATTTCTTACAAATATGGTTTGCAGTACATACTAAAAAAAGTCTAATAGCTGAGAATTTCTTTCATTTATTATTAATAAAATAATTAGTACAATTAGAAAACATGGAAGATAAGAATGATGAAAGATTCAGACATGCAGAGGCAGAATCCATTTTTTGAATTTAATGGCTATTGAATGAATATTTTTTATATCTTATCGTGTAAGAATTTAATTATTAATTCATGTATGTTTTATTTGCTTGCGGTTTCTTGCAAGTGGTAGTTAGTTAGTCACACGTTGTGTCCAGAAATTTTAACAATTTTGTAAAATTGCCACAAGTATTAAAGAACTGAATGAGATAAGTAAAGTTATTATTTAAATTAATTTTGTACCATAAAAACTAGGTTTTTATGACGTACGATTTTCCTAGAATTATAGCTTGCATTGACTGCACCCGTATAGCTATTTTTCCGCCAAAAAATAACGATTTAGTTTATCCTGAACATTGATATAGTATGTGATTAGACAAAATCATCATTCGATAAATTTACAATTGGTTTGTTGTAATTACATTACATAATCCTTATTTTTTATGGCCTGCACATTACTTGAATTCAGCGATATAGACAGTTTACAGTGATGCCAGACATATTATTTGCTTGTTAAAAACGTACACGTTTTAAAAAGCGAATGCTCATCGAACGCCAGTCAAGAATATAGATTTCAAAAACTACTCGCTTTTCAACCACTCACTTTCGAAAACGATTCGTTTTTTTAGCGATTGTCGAGGATAGCCGCCCAGGTCTGATGAAAAACCTCGACTTTTTCGCGAAACTCATACTCAGTTTCCACAAAAAGTTAATGGGTCTATTGAATAAAGAAAAGTATTATCTTGCAAGTCATAACTTATAAGAAAAAGCTAAAACTTGTAAGTAGAAGCTATTACTTATTTTTATTTGAATAAAAACTAGAACTCTCTCGAAAGTAAATACCGAAAAAATATTTTGAATTTTGAGTAATTACTTGTAAGTACTTACTTATATTTACAAGTATTTACTTTTTTCGTTGCGTATGACGAATGAAACACATGGTAACGCAAACGCAGCCCTGTAAACAAAAATTCATACTAAACAAGTCGTGACAGGATTGTGTGCAACCGCAAGTAAGCATTTGTTTTCAAGTTTAAGCGTTGTATAGGTCTATTCGTCGCAATCATGTCTTCGAGTGAGGAAGAATTGCCGGTAAAAATTGACGGTTACAGACTTATGTTTGTCAAATTGCTAAAAAAGTATAAGGTTCTTTTGAATAAATCAATGATTCCTACTATAGTTCAAGCTAAAGAAAAGGCATGGAAAGATCTCAAAGATGAATTTATCAAAATGTCTGGGACAAATACTACTGTTGAAAAGTTGAAATCTTGTCACATTTTCATATATGGAACTTTGTTTCCAGATTCTGGAATCGTGAACACTTCCAGGCCATTGAGCGTCTACACTTGTAATCAATTCATTAGCATCACAAGTTACTTGCACATTTATACTAGCAAATCCTTTTCTATTAATAAAATCATCGCCAAATTCTGGTGGTTTTTTAATTTGAA